GTCTCGCTTGAAACCACACCAGCTCGAGGGTCCAGTTGGACAGTGGGTGTGAAGATCACGCCGTTCACTTGAGGCACAATGGAAGAAACTTGCATGTATTGCCTTTCTCATTCCATTCAAGTCTCCAACATTAGAACGAATAGCAATTCCATAGTAGTTCTGAAGTTTATCAATCATGGCATCAGTGAGTTTTCCTTTCCCACCGAGAGCAGGAGTTTCTTTCTTTAGTTTTCTGAGTGCTGTGCCAACTCGTTTTTGCACATGTCCTATACATTCTTTCTTAGCAATTTGTATTCCATCTGCAGAGTAAACATCCTTGACTCTATTGTAACTTTTGCTGTCACCATCTGAATACAAGTCAGTATAACGAAGCTTGTGAGTTGCAACAGACCGTCTAAAAATACGATCTGCACCCTCTGATTCCATGACTGGGGCAGAGCCCTTATAATTAGCTTTGCAGTTATTGTGTTCTGCCCTCCATCTATGGTACTCCTCACTGTCTTTATCTAAATGGGAGTGAAGCTGACATTTTTTACAAACTTTAGTGAGAGGTTCTGCATCCAAAACTTTACCAGTATCAATTGACATGACAATCACGCAACCATTCTGTGAAGAATATCCTCTCTTCTGCCAGGTACCGTCACATGAAACGCCACAATTCACTAAATCATCTTCACGAGCATGCTGGGCATCCCTGATTTCTTTTGCTGCACTGGACATACCATCCTTAGCAATAACTTTCACATGTTTAGCAATCGTTCTTGCATTTTTTTGATATGCCATTGCTGTTGGAGGCGGTGGCATATTCATTAATGAGCAAAATTTCTTCGCTCCACTGTGCCCTCTTCCTATCGATCTCATGGAATACACTAAACGCCTATTCGCCTCAAAACTTAAAGTCTGCTTTTTAGATGTCCAAAACTCATGTTTCCAGCCACAACTCTCGCAAAAGACTCGAAGACTCGAAGCACATCCCTTCCTTTCTAAGTGGTTTTCCGAAAGCACGATGCTGAATTCTCCACAATCAGCACACCTCATGGCAGAAAATGCCATGCCGAGTAGCTCCATGTCGACAAACCTGAAGCCCGTTAATGTTGCCTCCTCTTCGTAAGGTTCTTCAACTTTGCCAGGTTTTGATTCCATGGCATCGGACTTAAGCAAAAGCTTTTCCGAAGACACAGACTTCTTAGTATGTTGACCGAGGGTGTTCGAACCATGTGCTTCTTCTTTCGCTTCTTTCGTCCTCTTGGCATTTTCTTTCGAAGGTTTCGTGAATTGATTTCCCGAAAACTTCCTTTTAGGACGCCTTATTGCACGATGCTTCGGAGGCATGGTTGTTAACGTGAAAAAAGAACGAGAAACAGGATAAAAAACTCAAAACGTCACGCCACTAGTATTGTTGTGAATTTCGCAACGACAATTTTTCGTGTTTCGCAGGCTCATCAACTACGATGGGCTAATCGTTGTTATGTACGGGGTAACAGAGAGTCCCTTGTCACGCAACGATCGTTTTCCGGGCGAAAACAACTATTGGGGGATTGTTTCTTCACTGTAAACAAGATAAAAACAAACCTGTTGCCCCTGGCAACCAAAGACCTGGTCTCAAAAATGAGTAAATACTGGACAACAAATAACATTTTCATGAAAAATTAAACTGTGGCGTTAATACCAAGTGAAATACGGACCTTTTCCAGCAATAAAAATTTTTAGGTAAAACTTCGAAATTTTTGCCTTTTTTAAGGTATCATACCACCTTAAACAAATTATCCCAAATGTAAATAAATTAAATTGCGCGCCTCAAAGCTTTGAGAAGTGAAGCTGAGAGGGGAATGGGGAGAAATATGGCGAAAAAACCATTTCCCATCTCTTTTCCCATATTCTTCTGCCGTTCAAATGTTCAGAGCTTCAAAGCACGAATAAAATTCGCCGTATATTAAGGCTTGGCAGAAACATTTTCCTTCCTACGAAATGGTAGGAAAATACCGTCAGGCTCTCTTCAGTAAAATTATCGTGATAAAAAAATCTAATCAATGAGGAATTGCCTCCTTACCGCAAGAAACGGAGCTGCCATTCCTCCAATTCTCGCGCACAGTGATGCAAATCCCACGCCGATTGTTCTGTTTAGCAAACAAACAAGAGAAAGATTTATCACCCAATAATTTCATTTCAGTTTCCCAATACAGTTATCATTTATCAGCAAAAATGTTTGAGTCGCTGGTCCACAAAAGTGTTATCCGTCATAAGCCTATGGGGGCGTAGCTTAAAGGAGGGCGGAGGGGGTGGAGGTGGGGGGGGGGGGGTGAAAAAACTCGAGTCCAGAGAATCTGCATAACATAAATCTTTCCCAGTGCCAAGAGCCCAATACGGGTTCCTCCCAGTGCTTATCCTATTTTCCCATCCTCGCTGCCTGATAACGAGCCCACTGATAGGCAGGGTAGAGCAGCGGTATAAGCCACCTCACGCAAGACACGTAATGTAACCGCGAACTTCATAGTGAAAAATCCTGGTTACGCACATTCTCAAGTTTTCCTGATTATCAGCTGAGGTAGTGAGTGCGAAGGTCAGGCATCTTCGCCAAAATTAGGCCACAAAAAAGCAGAAATCGATTTCATCTTGTCATTAAGGTAAGAGTTAAGACGTGGCTGGAAATCAACTAAACCTTTCCCATATGTTTGAATTGCCACTTCTCGTTCATAAAAAAAAAAAAAAGCATCACTTGCCATGAAAATGGCCTGAAAGCTGGTGTCTTAAACGACTGACTTTGATTGAAAGGCCATCAAAATAGAGCAATTTTCGATTGAGTGTCGAAAATAATCCATAATTGCTTCTGGTTATCGCACTGTGATTAGTCCTGGAAACTCTCGCCACTTTCTCAACCAATCAGATTCAAAACTGAAACCAATTGGGATTTGGTCACCCGCGATTTCTCGCGTTTCAAAGAGTTTGCCTGTTTAACTTTGAGTTCCCATTAACCGGTGTGAATAATTTGGTTTTGGTTTGAAGTGGGTGACATATCTCAAGGTCCCTTACTAAATGTGTGTGTTTGAGATCTTTACCTTATGACTGTGGGATACAGCTCGGCTGTGTGTATGTATATCTGATAATACGCGGCGGAGATGGTAAACTTTCCGATCATGGACAGGACACTGATAAGGCTGGGCAGATCATCTTCTTTCCCTGAAAAATGAAACAAGATATAAACAAAGAAATCCTAAGTAAAGAAATTATCCTCGCAGATGAACTGCCTCCAGATTGCCCAAACAAGCTAAAAGTGAAGGTGAAAAAATTGCACTCATAACAACACTGTGTGTATCATACCAAGTGTCAACTTGTTCGCCTGAAGCTTATGCTTTCCATGATCACCGAGAAGCACTTTTGAGAAATTGTCATTGGAGGCGCGGCATCGAGTTTGCCTCACCGCCCTTTGTGATTGGTCTAAAAAACTCGTGCCACATTCTCCACCAGTCAGATGCAAAACTAGATCCAGTAGCGTCTCGGTTTTCCATGTTCTCCCGCGCTAACGTCGTTCAGACGAATGTTTCTTAACCTCTCATTGGTTCCTTGTAATCTTATTTTACTGATTGGCTAAGGTGATTACATAGTTTTGGCATCTCTCAGTCAAAAGCATTAAATGTTAACGTTTTCAATTCTTTTTACCTGCAACGAGGATGATGAAAACACCGATGAGAGAGATTCCTCCAATAATGTAGTACACCACCAAAGGAAAGCGACGATTCACCCTTAATTTGGAAAAAGAATAGAGAAAAAAGAAAATTTACAATTACATACATCAAATCAGATCAATAACAAAATCGATGCTTTCTTTATGTTCACCAAATCGAGGGAAACCAAATAAATATTATGTCATTCATCCTTTTTCTCTGACTCGAGTAAATTAAATTTCAACTCTTTTTTTTTCCCTTTTTCTCCCAGGTTCTTGCAGACACTCTTACCTCTCGACCAGAATTGTGGCAAGAAGATACGCGGGAATTTCCACCAATCCTGATGCAGCAAAGTTCAAGTAGAAATTTCCTGCCAATTTTCCTGCGTTGAAGCTGAGCCCGTAATACACCATGCTGGTCACACACCTTGATGAAGATAAAACAACATACACAAATAAGGCATGAAAGAATGAATTATTCTTTCCTTAATTCAAAATATTAATGAATCAGTTTATTGAAAATTCTCCACTACTACTAAGGCCCGTGGCTCCATGTGGAGCATAGGCCATCGACGACCCCTCGCCATAGCACTCTGTTCTAGGCTAATCTTGCTGCTCCTGTCCAGTTTGTACCTTGCTGCTTGGGCTCTGCCTCAGTGTCTCGCCTCCAGCTGTTGCGAGACAGGCCTCTCTTCCTCTTTCCCTGCGGGTTCCAGGTCAGAGCTTGGCGTGTAATGCTAGATGCTAGCTTCCTGAGGGTGTGTTCGATCCAGCCCCACTCCTCTTCAGAATTTGTTTTGCTACTGGTTCCTGTTCCGCTCGCTCCCACAGCTCTTCATTTGGGATCATCTCTAGCCATCGGATGTTGTAGACGCGCCGCAGACAGAAGAATATCTGGATTTTCTGTCTTTGTCGTCCTCCAAGTTTCGCATCCGTAGAGTAAGACTGACTTCACATTGGAGTTGAAGATGCGAAGTTTGGTTCTTGTCCTGATCTCCTTGGACGACCAGATGTTCTTGAGCATGACAAAGGCTACTCTGGCCTTGCCAATCCTGGCTGTGACATCTCTGTCCGTACCCCCCTGTCGGTCAACTGCACTCCCTAGGTAGATGAAGGAATACACTTCCCTGATGGGCTCTCCACCGACTGTGACTGGTGTGCTGGCAGTGGTGTTAACCTTCATCAGCTCTGTTTTCCTCGTGCTGATCTTGAGTCCTGTCCCAGCTGATATGGTCTCCAGGCAGGTGGTCTTGTCCTGCACCTGTCGGTGGTTGTGTGACAGGACCGCCAGGTCATCAGCAAAGTCGAGGTCATCCAGCTACGTCCAGGGTGTCCACTATATCCCGTTGCTCCTGCCTGTTGTGGTGGTCTTCATGATCCAGTCGATGACCAGAAGGAAGATAAATGGTGACAGCAGGCACCCTTGACGGAAAATTCTCTAAACCAAGTAAATTCCAAAAAATTATCTACGGACAAGAGGGTCCTTTAAGCCTTCCTTACCCACCCCCCTTCCCCCCTCCCCTTGCGTAAGGTAATCGGGAAAACCAAGAAGCCAATTCCAGGCGCGTCGGGACCACTGGGTAAACCGCTGGGACCTGGAGGGCCCACAGGTCAACAGGGTCCACGAGAGACCAAAGGTGACACAAGACACTCTTTTAGTGAGATGCTATCTATATTCGTTTTAACTTACCAAGACCACCCTTCAACCACAGTGATTATCACCAAGTATCGGGTGCTAAACAGATGCCAGAAGTGATATGTCATCGTTTGTTCTTTCTTCTTGCTTTGATCTTGCATGTTGCTTATTGCTCCCTCAGGATACTCGTATCCATTCTTCTTCGCGATCTTACGCAAGATCTCTTCTGCTTCTTCGACTCTTCCTCTAGCGGAAAGCCAACGAGGAGACTCAGGAATTAGCCTGGAAAAATCACAGGGTGTAGTAGTTAGTAAAAAGCGGTCAAACGTAAGACATGCGCATGGGTGTCAATTTTAAGCGCCCGCGCACAAATTTCCCGCGCAAATTTTTCGAACAACCGCTATCTCGTAAGTAAGCGAATAAAATTGAATCGTTCACAGAAATTTGTAAAAGGGAACAAAAGTTAGGGGAAAGAGAGCTTGAGACTTTTCGAAGAAAAAACTTATTCAAGCATGGGTTTCTTAAATACTGTTGTTTCCTGGTTTGCGTGGTTGTTTGTAACTTTTGTGAGACAACTTGGTTCTGGCAGCCTAAAAGCACGCCACCTAGTCATTACAACGTGCACAGAGGTTTGGCACATGGAGTAAATTTAGATTCATTGTAGAAAGAAGTTTCCAAATGGCGTTGGTTTAGGTTTGCTACAGTTCTGTGATTGGTCTAGAAATCCCCTGCCACCATGTCAACCAATCAGATGCACAACTCAAACCGAGGCAACTTGGTCACTGGCGTTCTCCCGCGCTGCGGGTAGTCAGCTCAGACTGAACGTCGCTTAGACCTCTGGGATAGATAAAAAAGGCAACACCTACATTTAGACACAGATGACCAACACAGGGCTAGAATAACAGGAACAATTTAAAGGTTACAATTGAAGGTCTCAAGAACATCTACACCTACCAGTATAAAGCAACGAAAGGTAAATTCAGAAGCGTTATCACCAAACTGAACGCTTTCCAGCCTCGGACATAATACGCAATCAAAGCTTGCACAGCAATCCCAACTCCATAAGCTCCTTGAGATAAACAGTTAGCCCAACGCCTCCACTCAGGTGTGGCCATCTCAGTCATCAGCAAAAAGCCCGCAATCAGACAGCCTACGCCGAAGACAAAGATATTACAACAAAAAAAAACATTAAAATCGAAAAAAAAAAAAACCTAAGAGGAACGCTTATAGCATGCGTAGCAGTCCTTTCTGTTTCCGCTTATCCGTAAGGCGAACGAAGTCAAGCGCGGGCATGGGGCGAAAACGAGCATAAAAAAAATAGGATGAGTGGGGTAAAAGGGGAGTGGAGGGGGGGGGGGGAAGGGAAAGAAGCAATCCCTCCCCCCCCTTTTCTTTGCTCCTATTTTGGTTGCTCGTATTCGCCTTCGCTCCCGCTCGAATATCTGAAAGGAAACAAAAGAATACTACACAGGCTAGAACGCGTGTGGTTTTCCCCTTAACCACTATGAGTGACTGGCTTATAATTTCTCCTTACAGTGTCACCCTTGAATCAAACATTATGGTCGTGAGAATAAAGAAAATGATCACGAATTTAGAAGCTCCTGATTGTCAAACAAATTCCCCTTGTAAATATCAGGGGAAATGTAAAGCGAAGGGTGAGGAGAATATCGATATCAATGTAAAGGGGTAAGGGGCTTAAGCTGAGGAAGATATCACGGACCACAATGACTAACGAAAAAAACTTAGACTATACACTTTGACAAGTTGCAAGTAGAATGATTATCACCGATAAGTATAATTGCTGAGGTGATTAAAGAGATGTGCGCGCTCTGATTGGTCGAGGATTGCGTTATATCTCGCCTTATTAAAAACTGGACCGTTGCAATTCAAGAGTTTTCGTTGGCTTAGTCATCATAAGTTATGAGCCATTATACCTTCCGCATGCATGAAGACGAGTTAAACAAGAAGTGTTTTTGTACATTTTAACATCCCGTTTGTTCTTACAAAATAATAAGTTGTAAAGATTTATCCACATTTAGGGGCGTTTCTAGCGAAAAAATTTTTCCACTCGCGCTGTTGGATGTGAGATGATTATAGTCTATCATCTCATATCCAACACACGCTGGTGAAGTAATCGTTTAATAATCACCTCGCGCGAGGTGATTAGAGCAGAAGCGCTTAATTTCAAATGGTTGCCTCGCGTTTTGTCAATTCCGAGGAAGTAATAAACGCAATATAAGAAAATTCCATTGCAAAGAGCTCAAAAGATTTAACTGATTTGGCGGAACTCTTTTCAAACGAAAGATATAAAGTTTTTGCTGCGTGAATGAAATAAACCTTTTAAAACTGCTTGCTAATCTTGGTATGAGCAATCAACGCAATTGTAACAAAATATGCTCAATGCACCAGAGCAACTATATTAAAACAATTATTCGTCTCATTGTTGAACAATCCCCTCGTCTCGGGGCTATTCAACATTGTTATAAACCTAGATCTTCACTCAACAAAACGAGCAGTGTGATTGGTTGATTCTTGGTCACGTGCCCCTGACTAAGAATGATTCAAATGTATCCCGACCGGGATTCAATTGCGCAGTTGCCGCCCGCCATGATTGCCACATGATTGTTTAAGGGAAAGTCTAAATATATAGCAAAGCACTTAACGTATGGTCCCTAGGAAAACTAGTTAGTTTTGTTTTTCTTGGGACCATACGTTAAGTGTATAATATTCACTTCGCCTTCGTCGAATAATTGTCCACAGGAGCCCTGATAATGGGTTCCTGTTGTCCAGTAGTCCTCACCTCCACTGCAGACCCCAAGGGGAACCCGCAGGATGACGTACATGATGAAGTTCGTGGAGAAACTCTCAATCAAGGAGGCGATAAACTGCACGAGCATGGTGATAAGGAAAGTTGTACGGCGTCCAAATCTGTCAGACACCCAGCCGAAGAAATAAGCCCCGAACAGCTTACCCGCATAGAAGATAGTCTTTGTAAGTGGAACGTACTTTTTGGCATCATCGCATAAAATGTCCCACTGTAAAAGAGGACCATAAGAGACCCGTCATAAAAGATTGGTTCCTAAAAGGTTTTTTTTATTTCATTTATAAAAGAAAGTAATCGCATTCGTATTATTAAAGCAAAAGTGATTTAAGAACTTTTCTGTTGAATTATTGTGTAGCAACGACTGCCAAAGTACTCATTTTGTTGCAATGTGGATACACAGCCTCGTTCCCGTCTCTCTCTCGCTCCAGGAAGCAGTAAGAAGAGAGATCCTGGAGGCGAGGTTATTAGATATGGTATATTGTATTTAGGAACGAAAATCCCGCGAAACAGGTCGGTGAAGTTTTCACAAATTTATCAGTGCAACGGTGCTGTAATCTGTTCTGAGCAAGAGAATGTAAAAAGCTCAAAATCTTTTGGTTCTGAGCCATGTTCCAGTTTCTTGCTGTACATTTTGAGAGCAAGTAGGTTCAAATATAGATAAATACATGAAAATATACCTGAAAATCATGTGTCAATGATTCATCACTTCACGGGTTTATTACGAACATAAATAATGACCAGCTCCCAGTTGGCTTTTTAGCTTAGTTGATAGGGCACTGTACCAGTATCGCAGAGGTTATTGTCATGTAATATCTTCAAACGACATGTTTCTTTCCCGTGCTTTTATTACCCATCGTCCCTATCGAATGTAACAACTTTACGTCATGCGTAACACCAGATAACGCATACATGCCAGTCATGGGTTCAAATCCCGTACTGGCCTGGATTTTTCCAGACCTTATTTTCATTACTGCTTAAGTAATGTTCATCGCTTTCATATTCATTACATCGTAATCTTGTTTGCACGTAAAATTCATAAAATTTCATGCATTCTTTACAGCGCCTCCGACTCAAATGACGCTGAACTTCGGTAGCAATTATCGTTAAAACGGAAATTTCTACTGCAAACGCCTTTTTTTCTCGACAATTTATCTATGCTATGATCTTTTCGCGATCGTGTAGTACCCGCTTGCAACGAAGCAACTGTTTTCCTAGACATAAATTTTCAATCGCTCCCGATATCTCGATATCTGTGAACGGCCGATGGTAGCGCAAATCCATTAAAAGGCTTAGCGTAGATAAAATTCGATTAACAACAAAAAAAAAAAAAACCAAAACAAAGCAAAAAAACACAAAACAAAAAAAAGGGGAAGAGATCGTATTTCAAAAGCATAAGTTGAAAAATACTTTTCGCGCCCAAAAACGCTTGATTTTAAAAGAAAATAAAACATTGGGATTTGATTCAAACCCCAAAATAGAAAACGCCGTTTCTCTCAAAATCTGGATTAAGATCTGCCTTAAAGTAGAGCGTGACAGGCGAATTGTAAACAACATTGTACTAAATCACGTACGTTCGACATATTTTGTGGCGAGATGTTTTCCTTATGATCGGCCAAGCTCACTGCATATAAAATATATCAGAAGTTAGCAGAAGGGCAGAAATAAGACAAACGACGACGTTTTTATTTCCCTGCTCTAGGCATAATCGTAAAACACTGCTTACAAAACGGCTGTGCAAATATTCAAAACAAAGCCCTAAAGTTCTACGTGAGCTTGTTAAGTCAACTAAAAACGTTGGCCAGAGTCTAAGTCGTACTCGTGTGTTGTATTGTTTGGCATCCTAATCAGGAAAGAAACGAGCACGGGCTCGTGGGCAAATTTTACATACCTCGGTAACGATCGAAGAAAATGTCACGTCATATCCAACTTTCTGACAAACTGTATTGTTTTCCCAAGCCGCACAAAAATCCTCTCCTCGAATGTCTGTGTTGTTTAGGCAATAGAGGTCACCTTCTTTTGGCTTACGGGCAGCAAATGCTGGAGCGTATGTATACCAAGCCTGTGGAATTGTGGCAAGGAAAATAAGCACCCACTGAATTTGCTGAAATCTTGACCATCCGCCAAGTTTAATCAGAAGCTCATCGAATTCAGTTTTTTTGTAAATTCGGCTAAACGCCCCGTCCTCCGATTTTGACTTCGGCATCTTTGTTTGGAGCTGAAAGAAAAGTATTTGTTTTCCGCCCAAGAAGATGTTATTATGTGGCGATTGTCTGATTGAGCCGTATCATGCGTATACAGACTGATATAGAACAGATTAGGTTACAGCCATTAGTTTGATACGTGGTTTGGTCTTCAGTTCGCCTGCAGGCCTGGTTCGTCTGTTGACCTGAAATCGGGGGGGTCGGAGGATTACGAATAATCGGGTGACGTCAATGCGCGTCTGAACTTGATCCTTTTAGAAAGCAAGGTCCATTTGAGAGAGGACGCCATTTCGTTCCGAAGCTCCCCCATGCAGCCCCCTGCTTGGGGGGGGGGGAAGAGCATTACTCAGCCCCCTCCCCCTTATACAGATATGACCCGCCCAAGAGGATTATTTTGAACCATTTTGGTTTGAAAACGGGAATATATATAATAACCCAATAGGTGACTATCAGAGTCTATAGGTTGTAAGATTTTACGCCACTCTCTGCGTCGGTATCTTAATTACAGTAAATTAATTCGTAATGAAAATATTAACGGCGTAAATTTTTTTAGTTAACAGCGCAATTTCTTTCAGTTGGTAATACACATACTATAAGATTTTAAGTCGTTAACTGACGGCGTAAAATCGGTCAGTATGTATATACACCGACTAGGATGGAGGCTTAAAAAACTCACAGTCAATAGACTGCGTTAATCACATATTACGCCGTTCGAATTTGGAAAACTATGATTTTTAAACCTGATACGGTTTTCAAGATATCAACGGCAGCGTATTATCGTATTTACCTTTCCACTTTCAAATGAATGATGGACAGAAAGAGAAGGAACCAAAATGTATGTCATTTACACTAGATTTTCACAGGAATGCTACCATGACTTCAACAATGAGCAATCCATGTGAAACTTACAGAAGCCATTTCTGAAAATAGGGAAGAAAAATTACATGTTTTGGTCGTGAAACATGGGTCATTACTCAGAAATTCCTGCAAGGAATCCCGGGAAGAACTCCTTTCCCCTAGAAGTTGTCCTATTTTGGATTAGTTGATAAAAATATGGAAAGTGTATTCCCCCCTGTAAAAGGATATACCGTATTAGATATCACAACATCTTTAGGTCGACAGATTTCGTTCTTCAACAAGAATTATCATATTTCCTATCACGAAACTGTCATTTGCACTAGACTGAATGTATTGCGTTCGACGTAAAAGACGTGAGTGCGCTGTCTAAAAAATTTTTATTTTCAGTCTTACGCGACAAAAGATGACGTAGTGTCTTATTTTATCTGCTCAAGAACCATTAATGGTCTGTTTTATAACTTTTATCGATCTATGCGAAGTCTATGCCTTGTCAAAACATAAGCACAACCTTTCGAGAACGATACGGACATTTTCAAAACAATAACAACTGCAAAAGAAAATGGTTCACGACTTTATTCACGGGCAGGAGCCTAGCCTCCTGTCACGGGTTACGTTTAAATTAAAAATTCGTTCACGTGGATATGAAAAGATCTTACCATCTTTAATCAAGATCCACGAAACAAAAAGATTAAATCACGAGAAAAAAAAAATCACTCAATCACGCTTCATGTAAAAAGTATATGACCCTCTTGGATAACTCTCTTTACTTCCTTACTCACCCCTCCATCTACTTCCCCGAATATAGCAATATCCGGAGTCTCTTCGGTATAGATCGTAATCGGTCGGAACATTTTCGGTCAAAAGTCGCCTGGAGCACGCTTTTTGACATCTTCTGTACCTCTCGCGATGGCGGATGGATTAAAACAAAGAGAAAACTTATATAAGCTGATGATAAGGTAAGTAGGGTTTCCGAATGTAATTTAATTGTTTTTTTTGAGCTTATGGAGGGAAGCGAAATACGAAGATATCGCTCCAGAGTGTCGTTAACGCTTGAACAAACAACAATATGGCGTCGTGCTTCGTTTGGTTTTCAGCTGCTGTCAGCGTCTGCGTTAATCTATCTCCTTGAAGCATCGCGGGTGTGTGACTAGATTAAAGAAAAAGTAGATGAATTGAACCTCAAATATTATTTGCCTATAAGCGTTCCAGCCTCGTGATGTTTCGTCAAGAGAAGTAGAAGTGGTGCTAAGTATTAACCCGATTGATACTTATTTGATGGTTTTCCGTTGTTATTGATGCGAATTGAACCCTTTAAGCTTCGTTCCGTTCTAATTGTGTTGAACACCAGTAAGTTAGTAGGAGTAAATTTATCTTGGCTGGAAGAGTACCTCAAATTTGTTACAACAGACAATGTTTTTTTTTTGACTCAGTACAATTTACGTTAACCCACACAGACTTGTTTCAAGCTAAATCGAGAAATACCTGAAAGATGTTTCTGCTTGCTTTTTAGTGTTATTAATTTTATTGTGAAAAGTAAATCTTGTCTGCGCTTCTCTGTCGATGCTGCTTTATCAGGTGAAATATTGTCGTAAAGTTCAGCCAGTTATGGTACAATTTGTTTCAACATATGCTGAAAAATTTAGTTTAAGGAAAAAAATGATAGCGTTATTGTTGTAGGCTTCGGTGAAATTTTGCCTAGGAACACAAAGAAAGAAAGTCAGCTCTTTTTTGGTACTTCATTTGGAAAAATATGTCATAGAAAAATCAAGGAAGTTGGAATTTTTCTGTAAATTAGGTTAAATGTACAGTGCATGAACAACTTTTTTCTGGCTGCTCCTGTTGGTAAAGAGAATAACTTTGTAAAGAAACTGGAGTGCTGTATCAGTGGAGGTTATTACATGATAATCAGTTCTTACCAACTGAGTTTTTTTGTCGATTGATCTAATAAAGGGCTAATGCCCAAAAAATCAGCTTTAGAGAGCCTTTACTGTGGTCAATTTACATACCTGTTAGTGGTTTGATTAGCTGGTAAATGTGAGCTTTGTCTCAAAGAGCAGGGTAAAAGGTTAGCCATTTGATTTTCTTCCTCTGTAGTTCCTATGATTTTTATGCCAAATCCTTCTCATTCTGCAAGGTCTATTAGTTTTTCTCTGGCTTCCAAGGTCCCAAGTTCAAATTTTTCTCAAAGTGGCTTTCTGGCAACCTGAAATGATGAAATGGTTGCCAGGAAAATAACTTCTATAAAGTATTTATGCAGATGTTTCAGTCTCTTAAATTTTAGATTATAAACAAAAATTAACCCAATGTTACAGGTTGTTACAACACTGCACAACACAGGTTGCCAAACTGGTGACTTTCACAGAAAATTAAAACCCTGAAATTCATTTGTTTATGTCTTTTTCTGTGAGCTTGTACATTATTGATGACACAGATATACACTTGATTTCAATAATCACCAAGATTCTGTCTTTTATTAGGAGGGTGTATATAATAAACACTATTAGTTGCATGCGGTGAATGATGGAGGATATTGAAGCTTCCCTGAAAGAAAAGGAATACCAGTTGTAAAAAAATGATTTAATGAGGATAACAAGGAAAGTGAATCTCTGGAGAAAAGTGAATCCTTAGTGGTGTATTTGAGCAAACTTTTCCCATTAACCTGTTTGGTCCCATTGTTCATGGATTATATTTTTAGGTGTCAACATAGTGGCAATTAAGTGTTTATTACATATGTTTATAATTTGATCTACTGGATTGCCAGTGTTGGTTATTGTCATAAATAATTCTTTAATAACTTTATAACCCTTCTTCCCTCCATAGTCAGCTCAGATATGATGGATTTGATGCCATTGCAAATAATTTGGCCAAAGTTGTTAACATCATCAGTGCATGCCCTCCTATGGCACGACTATATGAAGTTGTGAATCTTGGAATTCAAGCTGAAACAGAAGGTGCATTTTAGGGACATTGTTTTATCAACTGTTTTCATAGAGCATTAATCTTTAAATTTCTTCCTTGAAAAAGAGGAGTCCTGTTTACAAATGATAATTTTAATATACCAAATGATGCATTTGAAGAATAATACAATCAGTAAATTTTTATGAAAATGAAGCAGATGTGAGTGAATTACTGAAGGAAAGTATGGATCTTGAGGAAAAAGTTTGGAGGAATTAATTATTTTCGTAGGAGAGAATATAAGGAAGTAGTTAATTTGACTATGTCACTCCCAAGATCCCAAGATGGCATTAGTAATTCTCCTTACTGTCTGCAATACAATTCTTATGATGTTATTTTGGGGAATTTGGTATTGGATCAACAAATAATCCCCTTGTTGATATTTTTTTTTCTCCTCATCACTTGTCTGCTTGATATTGAATTTATATTTTAAGGAGAAAGTATGACTAAGTTACTGCTGGGAGTGAAAGAGTTAATTACTGATTGATAGGTTTTCTGAATGACTTAATAACTGACCACATTACAAAATGACTGAATGAATTGATGGATGAATGAATGAAGGTTTTTTAGCTCTGAATTAATGAACTGAGGAGCAAATGCAGAGAGTATGGATTAAAAGGTGGTAAATGAGTAAATGTGGTTGTCAAAAATTGGTAGTGAGAGACGTGAAGATGAATAAAAGTGAGATAATATGTAGAAAACTTAACTGACAAACTAGCAAACCAACATGCAATCTTTTATGCAATTGAATTATTGAATTAATATGATATACTAATTTGTATTGACTGAGTGGGAAGGCTGGATGGGAAACTATTTGGCTCAAGGTCATAAAAATCTCCCCTTTATTTTTGTGAGTTGGTTTGAGAAACTCTCAGTTCATAGAAACACACCTTGTTTTCTTGATCCTGTTTTCCTAGAGTTCAATGTAAACAATGTTCTTTTTGCAAGAAAGCCATACCAGTGTGGGGCCAGATGGTCGTTTTTTAAACTGGCTCATGTCAACCCTGGCTCATGGGTCAGCTTCCATTTTATTTTTCTAGAGGATTGCGCAAGCAGGGCCAGACAAGTCATATAATAATTATCAGAACTGAATAATATTATTCAATTTCTCATTTCTTCAGGTGTGAGACCCGAACCCACAGTCCTTCCTGGACTAACACCATCAGTTGAAACAAGCAGAGGAATTGATTTGGAGTATGAACCAGAAGGTATGGTGAAACCCTTTACAACCTGACATCAGTATACATATTCTCCATACATTTCATAAGGTGCTGACAAGGAGAATTTGTTTAACAATCAAGAGCTTCATTCATTTGTGATCATTTTTGTTATTCTCGTGACCTTTACGTGTGATTCAGGGATGATGTTGGAAGGAGAACTTTCATGCTAATCACTCTTTGTCCTCAAAGGGTTGGAAATTTGGAATTTTTAAAGTTATTCTTGAAATGTTTGAAAGGTATTTGCAATGTGTTTGCATCTATACTAAGAAATTGTAAAATTTATACAAAGCTGTGTAGTCCTTTTTTCTTGTTCTCTGTGAAGCAATGTGCTTGCACATGTGGGTGAGATGATTTTCAATAAAAATTTCCATTTACTGTGAGTCCAAATGTTACTACATCCAGGTGGCAGTTTTGTCCTTTTCAGGTGATAACTAATAAAATTTAATTTCTTAAGTACCTCCTATCACTACCATAAATCATTTGGAATTACTGAAAATTTAACAGGTACATGTAGAATGATTACTCTTACTACCAGTTTGAAAATTGATATTACTTATTATATTTGAAATAAGGGAAAACACTGAGTCAGAATATTACTAACTCTGCTCAGGGAGTGAATTTGAATTTGGGGAAACAACCCAATTCCTATTCATCTGCAAATAAAAGTTAATGAAATGGAATATCTAAGTTGTATCATTTTGTATACTGAATCAGCGCTAGATTGCAATTACTGGTTATTTGTTTTTTAACTGGGGTTTTTTTTCACTGAAAATAAATTATGATAATTACTGCAAGAATTTTGAATTATTTCATGTTATGATCGCACAATGTTGGTAGCCTACCATGGAAAGAGCACATGTTTTGTTTTAGAATGCAATGAGTTTGATAAAACTTCTTCCTTTTAGGGCACTGATTTACTTTTATGTTATGATCCTTTTCCATGCACTGTTGTAAATGTATCTACAAGTTTGCCTCAAAGGGTGCTAGTCTAATAATTATTTTTCCATAGTTTTTGGGCAAATACTTAGACTGGTGATTAAATTTTTTGTGTAGTTACAGTCCTAACAATATAATGAAAAAGTAGTACACTTGTAGGTAGTCATCACCTGTTTTAAAAAGTGGGGCCAATTTATAACAGCCCATGACTAAGAAAGGAGGATAGCATTGTTACTTAATTCAATCATTACATCAGTGGTAATTTCAATCATCAATTGTTGAAATAGAAAAAGTATCAAAGTGATAAAAAGGCTGACTCTGTTTCAAGATAATGTAGTTTTATCAACTGAGTTCATAATGTAAATTGTGCACCATAAATAGTTTCTAAAGCTGATATTTTTCGTGCAAGCCATTTGTCAAGCAGCACCACAGTTTCTCCAGGAAATTACCCCCTTTATTCATAAATCAATTTCAAGGTGATTTTATTAATCTTAAAATTATCTCCATCTGATTTTAGATTAACCTAGCCATTTACATGTAAGCTGGTTCTTTTTGAAAAAAAAAACAATGTCAGTAACTATAATATAATCTTTTTGGTTCTTAAAACCTTATGTGGTTGAAGTAAACAACAAAATTAATCTTACATTTAACTATAAATGATGCCTTCTTTCTGACTTGTACAAAAGCCATGATCGTACATGTTTCTGAAAATATGGATTTTCAATTTTATTGAAGCTGTTTTTGTATAAACATGTAAAGGCCTGATTCAGTATACAACAACTTATTCCATTTCGTTGCTTGCCTAGGGAAAGAGGTGAATGGAGAATGGCAAAACTCCACTACTGATGAATCATTCATGAACAATCTTGAACTTCAAAAAGTAGACCAAGATTGTGAGAGTGAGCCTGAGGAGAGACCAGATGATTCCCCTTTGGCAAGCATGGTTCTTAATCACATTCTAAGAATAACTTCTGACAAGAAATTCACAGAGCCTCCCCAAGCGCTGAAGCCCACTGCAGCAGCAGCAGAGTCCTCGAGTGGAAATGGGCATGTGCTTGATACAGAGAGCATTTGTGAACAAGTTAAACTTGAACTTGTTAAGTATAATGTTTCTCAAGAGGTGTTTGCCAAAGCGGTCCTAGGCAAATCGCAAGGATATCTCTCTGAAATGCTCAAACATGGTGAGAACTTTTTTCGCCCCCAAGACAATACACACTACAAGGGTTGGATGAATTTTGAGATCATGCGACAGTTCCTTCAGAGACCAGAGGCTGAACGCCTAAGGATTTATTACCAGAAGGGAGAGGAGTTGAAGAGAGAGAGGATGAAACGTCGGCAGATTGAGATTGTAAGTGCAATTTCTTTTCATTATTTGTGTGCAAATTATATTCTTCTTAATTTAAATTTTTTCAAGTTTTTTGTTGCTGTGTAGCCTGTTTGCAGGCATCATATTAAGGGGAATTCAGCTTACAAGCTCACAATTGTTTATCCGACCAGCCATGTAAGTGAGGGTGATTGGTGGGAAGGGGTGGGGAAAGATAAGTAGATTTTTTATTGATTTCAATTTCCTCACCCCTCCCCTCTCCTTCCTTTGATGTCCCTCACTTTCTTTGTACAGTTTCTCTCTCTCTTTAGTTGCTATGAATTTAACCTAGAAAATACTGAGCACTTGCATGCAAAAATTACACCAAAGGCTAGTTGCTATATAATAATTGCTGTTTTGGGAGAAGATGCTGTCTGGTTTTTTCCTCCTGCTAATGATAGGATGGGTATCAGAATATTCCAGGTTTATATAAAGAGAGAACATAGGACACATGAAGTTTTACCTGTATGAATGAAGTTTCTTTGATTGAAGGCTGCATTAATACATCAATACCTTTGTCCTATTGAGTTTTGTGTAGTTAATTGGGTTTTGAACTGCTATTCATTTGGTATTTTTAGAATATGAGAAGCACCTTGAAGCTGAATCTGAACTTTTGAGAAATGTAAACTGACACCGATGTATTTGTTTGAATATTAGGGTCTGTCTGATGATGCACTCAGGAAAAGAAGACGCTACATACCTACTGAAGCTAAGGCTGTTATGGAGGATTATTATCACCGCAGCAAGTACCTTTCATTGGAGAAGCGCCAAACCTTAGCCAATCAGCTGGCCATTCCTGAACAATGTGTCAGTGATTACTTCAAGAATCTGCGATCCAAGAAGAAACACGAAGAGCGCATGAAGTGTTTATTGAAAGGGCTGGAACATGGTGAAAAACAGCCTGACCAAACAGATTCTGGGGATGAAGATGAAGACAGTATGGAAAATGACACCAGTGAACATCAAGGGTTGTGTTCGCGTAATAACTCAGCTGAGCAAACATCTAGTGCTTCAGTCGAAGCTTCCCCACAACCACATGGTCCTGCTCAATCTCCAAGTTTAATACAGTCATGTGGCAGAAGGTTTAATATTTCACCTCCAGTGTCTGCATCATCTCAAGCCTTTCAAGCCTCCTCAGAAAGGAAAGTTTCAGAAACTGATTTAGTGGCATCAAAAATTGCTGCTCTGACGCAAGGTCAAAAGTCATCAAACAGACAGTCTGGTCTCCGAAATACCCAATCGCCTTCTGCTAGAAGTAAAGATAGTGAACTGCAGGTTTCAAGGACACCCACCAGCAGGTCTGCTCATCGTGCAAGCAGGGAGAGTACTGTACCCTCTACCAGATGCCTGTCATCACAGACACCTGTCTCCAGCTCTGAAGAAGTGGAGACATTTTCGCTTGATAGCTTGATTGATGGTGCCTGCAGTTCTGTCATGCTCCAGGGGGGGACACCTGAAACTGATGGACTGGAGGTTGGGCAACAGATTTATGTTGTACATGTTAACAATCCTGCTGTAACAAGTGTTCAGAATTGAAGATTTTCAGGAAGCTGGCATCTGGAAATTTTGTTTCAAACTTCCATAACATGCAAACTTCGTGATATGTGAAGGAGACTACAATCATTTATTAATTATTGATTAAAACTATTAACAGTTTACAGTTTAGTGACAATTTAAGTACAAAGTGGCTGTGATTAACAAAGGAAGAGTTAGGAAAAGATGGGGTTAATTCTGTCACTGGCTGCAATATTGTTCTGTGATACTTAAGGCTTTTTTTACATTCTTCAGTGAGTTTCTCTGTTGCATTCAAAGTTCAGAAAGCCACTGTAACTTAAGTTCTTGGCTATACACTATTTGAAGACCCAGGTAATCTCAGTTAAGATGTGGATACAATTTATCACAAATTATTATTTGAAGTTATAAACAGTGAGAAGTTTTTTTCCTGTAAATATAAGAGAGACAAAGATGACAGCATCAAGGAACTGGCCAGAGATGGTTTAAAACTGAATCGTTTCTTTTGTAATGTTATTTTGTCACCATAACTGCAATAGCTTTTGGAATGTGATCTGTAAAATATATTGAATGAAAAATGAAGCACATAGTATTGACAAGGTTATGTATAGTATTTATTAGGCTTTCATCTAAAGAAAGATTTTATCAGATTTGAAGGATCATGTTACATGGTGCATTGTTACGAGAAAATAAATCGTACTGTAGAGTTGTTTCACCAAGCCAACAGTTAATTATCCTAGCTGTGTTGCATTTATACCCTGTAGTTTCAAGAGCTGGTGTTCTGAGATCTTCAGCTGTAAAGATACTATGCAAATTGTTTTACGAGCATTTCAGTATCAATGGATCCTGTAGCCTAATCGTCTGTGTGGTAGAGTCCGAAATGACCTGTTTCTGGTTTCAGTCAAAGTCAACATGAGTGGGATTGACAGTCGGAATCAGTTCTATGGTGCCATATTATTTTTTTTAACATCATTATATATGCGCACGCGATCATCACGTCTTGTAGCGTGGGGTATACAAGTTTATGAATTATTATTATTATTGATATTTTTTACGTTATCCAGATCTGTGATTCCTACCGAAGATAAGTTTATCTTAGCAGCCAAATTGCAATACTATTGACTCTCTTGAAAGGGGATTAACCCTTTAATCCCTAAGAGGGACTGGAGACTAATTTCTCCTCACAATATCACCCCTGAATAAAACATTGAGGTCATGAGAATAAGGGAAATGATCAACAACTAAAGGAGCGCTTGATTTTTAACCAAATTCCCCTTTTTCAGAACCTTACGAAATGTACAGAGAAGGTATGGAGAATATGCATACTGATGTTGGGGTGTATAGTGTTAGAGCAGGTCCTCATCGTTAGCGCTTTGGCACGGGTGTTTCTTCCCCCGGGGGAAAGTACGAGGCCTTGATTGACGCGACCCTGCGATGGGCCTGGAAGCGGTCTGGTACTAGTAGTGATATTAGTGCCAGATCCCCGTCAACAACTTTCAAACCTAATGAGCCTCGTGGTTTCACTCCAAAGTGACAATGACTGTCAACCAATGAGCGCGCAAGAACTTCAACAGTTATTGTTGAAGAAGTTCTATTAAAGAATTGAGTCAGCGCATGTGAAAGGAGCGTGTTTGTGATAGTTTAAGGGCGGAAATGGTTGGTGAATTCAATATGGGTCACGTATACAATGATTAAACCGTGGGACATTCCTTCTGTGGACTCACTTGAGACTAGAAAAAGTGTCTTCTGAAGGAAAAGCAACCCTTTGACGAAGCTCAGATTTCAAGGCTCCAAAATTAATCTTAGAATTCTGTAGGACTTACCACATGACATTCTTTTTTCAGATCATGGTACCAGTCCTCCAGCAGCCATGTACGAAACATATTACGTAACAGCACACAAGGCTCCCTGCCGAACAGCGAGTTTTAGTCAAAATGGTATGATTAAGAGTTATACTTTTTTCAGCGTTCATTGTGTTAGTGTTCATGCTCGTTTTTCGCTGTTTTAATTCCGTCTAGCGGCCGGTTATATATGGTAGTCAATAGCAGGTAATTTAGTGTTAAAAACTGAGTTGAAAACGTAAATTAGCCACCGTAAAGAGTAACAAAGCTGACGTTTCGAGCGTTAGCCCTTCGTCAATCGCTCTGACGAAGGGCTAACGCTCGAAACGTCTCTCTCGCCCACCGACGCAGCACTACAGTTTCTTTAAAAAATTACCCCCTTTATTCATAACGGTAGTCAATGCTTTGATAATCTAGTACCCAGATCCTACCGAATAGACTTAACCGCTTGGCCGGGGAAGTTCTGGTTACAAAACTAATACTTTGATTATTTCAAATAGTTTTCCATTGAATTTAGGCGCTCTCACGAAAAAATGATATAATTACATGTTTCATGATTCTGTTTTAGGTCGATTGATAGCAACAGGCTCAGTAGATGCGTCCATCAAGGTATGTTCTTCAAACAATCAACTTAAGGTTAAGGGAACACATCGGTCAAACGTCTGGTATGTGCAAGGAGGTCGGCTTTGTCCAACCGCGCCTATTTCAAAGAGCAACCGCTGTCGCGTTAAATAGCGAACAAAGTTGAAACGCTCATAGAATTATAAAAATAGGGAAGAAAAGTTGGAAAACTTAAAGACTGCGCAACAAAGCTTATCTAGTTACGTATAACCTGGTACCGTAGATTTACCATTTTATTTTGAGCTTCATGAAAAAAAAAAAGATTATTTTAAAACTTTGTGACGAGAGAGATATGCACCGTGATTAAAGATGGTTTTGTTCCAGGCCCACAGTTAGTAGAGACGGCTTTTCGTGTGCCCGCATTTTCAGTCATTTCCTTTGAAGAGAGTGCTTAGCATGGCGCTAGAACCAGAAATTCTCAATGCGGAGTTCAGTGCACCTAGCACTAGTCTTCCCCGTTCACTACTCAAAAGAATCTTAATTAGACAATCTTTTTTAAACACCGTTAATGAGTTCAATTATGTAACGCGGCTATTGAAGTGAATGGCTGAATAATATACATTATGATTGAGTGCTGTCAAAAAAAAAAAAGATGCGCTGCTTTAGCACAGTCACGTTTGATCTCTCTACGTTCTCCGGGTCTTTTCTCGCAGGTGTTAGATGTCGAGAGAATGGTTGCAAAGAACACGATGCCACAAACACAAGATCAAGGAGCTGGCACTAATTTAGAGAATCATCCAGTTATCAGGACTCTTTATGACCATATGGATGTACGTATTTCACGAACACGCCGATAACAAGCTTATTATGTAATAATGATAGTAATAATAATGATGATGATAATTTTTAAATTTTTGAATATAAGCTTTATTCAAAACTCAGTTAGAATATTTACAAATGGATATGGAAATAAAACAAATCGTGCTTTATGTACAAAAATGTATATTAACTCCAAAAGAACTTGCACAGGTAAAGTTGCAGTTGCGAACGTCTCGAAATTCGTCTAAGAACATAGCGCATTGTCCCGGTCAGGTCTCGAAACCTCTCGACGTGGAGTCCAGTACACTGACCATTAGGCCACTGCGCTTCCCATGCAATCCTCGATCCTCGATCCACGAATACCTATCCTCGATCTTCGATCCTTGAAGTTTTTAGGAATCGAGGTTCGAGTTTCGAGGAATTGTTGACTTACTTCTGAGCGGTACTGTATGTGTAACATGACTGTTTTTGTTTTGTTTCAGGAAGTAACAGTTGTTGAATTTCATCCCAGCGCTTTGGTCTTGGCATCTGGTAGTAAAGACTGCACAGTGAAACTATTCGATATCTCAAAACCCTCAGTGAAAAAGGCTTATCGTTCCCTTCAAGTAAGTTTTAAGGCAACATTCAGAACATTTCATAAACCACTCAGTAACCAATTTCTGGAGCAGATCCAAAAAATCTTTCATGGGAGTGAAGGGTTTGGGAGGAGGAGAGATTTTTGATTGAGCGAACACATTAAGCTAAGAGCGTGAATAAGCTAAGAAATATTGTAATACAAGTGAATGTTTAATACTTCAAATTGTGTGGTAACATGCTTTCCTGTTGTTGCAATCATTTTGGTGTCAAAGCCATGGGTCTGATGGGAAGGGGATGGGGACATGGGCATCCCTCCTCCAGGGTCTCCTCGCCCCCTGGGTTCCCCCTCCCCTCCTCTCCCCATGGGTCCCCCCTTCCCTTCCCTCTCCTCCTCCCCTCTCCCCCTGGTTCCCCCTCTGAATCTACTACTGAAACAACTTACTAACTTATACCCACTGGTTTTGTTTGTTTGTTTGTTTTGTTTGTTTGTTTGTGTTTTGCATGCACAAGATTATTTTAAATTGTTTGAAGTAGCTAAAGAACGTCAGCTAAACTGTGAGTTGTTTTTCTTGTAGGAAGCTGAGGTTGTAACATCCATGTCGTTTCATCCCACAGGAGAATTCATTCTTGTTGGCACAGAACACCCCACCAGTTAGTTCTTTTCCTATTACCCCGACCGCAGGCGGTCTCTGCTTTTTAGCGAGGTCCGTCGCGCGAGTGCATAAAAAAAAAACAAAACAAAACAAAACAAAAAAAAAACCGGGAAAAATCGCTTTTTTTCCCCTCTGATTTATTTTTACTTGTGCGACGAACTTCGCTAAAAGGGATGGACTTCTTGATGTTAGGCCTGTCCCAATTGTGCTCGTAAAATGCTAGAAAGTTGCTTACTGTAATGCCAAGTGCAGAAGTTGCTACTTAAATTTCTTGATATTTTTATATAAAATTTAGTTGAAAGCTTTAGTTGTCGTTCTTCAAAATAATTTCCGACATCAGTAAAGAGAAATAGCTTGAAACCTAGTAGTTTAAAAAGTTGCTCGCGAATATGGGCAGAATTTAAGGACGCTCTGAAGTCTGATGGAACGCAATAGGCTCGCGAAACGTTGTTGAATGACAGGTCATGTGTTCAAAAGATTGATAAACGTTCAATAATTTGAATACATTGAAGTTATCTATGAAGTAGTTTACTTTTTCGTGCTTGATATGCGCTCTGAATCTATATTTTGCTCAAAAATTGCGCAGAAAGGCAAACATTTCTCGACGTTGCTAGAGCTGCAAAGAAAATACTTCAAGTACCAAGATGCTTAAAAGTTGAGTAAATCTGGTCAGGCATACTCGCCGTCTAGTCTCCTACTCAGACCTTCACGATTATTACTCGATAGGATCTGGGTACGAGATTACTCGTGGTCTACTTCAAATTCAAAGAGCAGTGTGTGATTTGACCCTAATAATAGTCCTGTGGCCTTTTTCCGCTGAAATGTCTTAAGACACATTTTTATTCAGACTTAATGTATAAAAACCAATTTACTTGATAAGCCATTTCTAGAAGAACATTTGTCGGCGTTTTTCGCAAAGAATATTGTTTATTTGATGTTCTAGCTAATAGCCATTCACTTTAAACATTTAAATTGTTCTGCATTTCATCTTTATACAGTTCGTCTTTATGATACAAACACCGGGCAGTGTTTTGTGCCGGCAAACCCCCGTGAATATCACACAGGATCTATCAATATGGTGAGAGTGATATGATTTTTGTGACAAGTTGATGACACGTTTTGTTACAAATTTATGCCAAATAGTCTCACGGTTGAGTCAATAACAAGAACTCTTATCGTCTCGAACCCAGATCTTCCACGGCCAAGTGGTTGTAAGGATCCTTTATTTCGGTTACAGTTACACGGTAGGATCTGGGTACGAGATTAGTACTCTTACTCGACATTTCTTACCTATACGACTATACGACATTCCTCGCTTAGGCACCGGTCATTGCTTATCGCTCAAGGGGGGGGGAAGAGCTGGAGGATTTTAGTAGTGTAACGT